GCAAAGGTCAGTATTGTCTGAGTTTGATCCTCTCATCATATACTGAAGGAATTAAAAACTCAATTTAAAAGAAGTTGACACAAAAGACTGATTCAGGTTCACCCCAATCCTGCAAGCAGATCCATTAATCAACCAGATCCCATCAAGATTGATGAATTCTGCTCTTCCATTTCAGAATCAAACGCTGACATGACAAGTGATCATTTTTAATATTCTACTTAACCATTCAAAATAAAGATTTAGATATGTGTCAGGATAAATTTAGCCCCTTCTCCACTTTCTCTGCCTCTCACACGGACACACTCACACGCCTTAGGTGCAGTCGTTCACAGCAGCCTGTGATTGACTTGACAAATGTGCTGTGGAGCAGCGCACTGACAATATATACCCACCTGGTCTCGTGTGGGAACCTGCAGGCTTTTCCTCTCAACACTCCTTCTCCACATCAATCATTGCTGGAACCTGCGGTGGCCATCATTCTCAATCTAAAAGCAAATAAACAGAAAAAAGGCTGAAAGTCACATCATTATAGGGATCATTCTTCATCATCATTACTGGTAATGATTAGGATGACACATTCAAAGGTAGGCCTCACTGGGAAACAGACAAAAATAATGTTGCCATGTAGATATCAACTCCTCAAATAAAAAACAAGCGACTACTGCTGCTTTAGTTTTTCAAACTCTGGGGATGTCAACAGAGCAGGACCGGTCCTGTCAGATCCTGACACCCACCTCTGTGTCTCGCTCCCTGGCCTGCTGTCACAGTCCGCCATCATGCCTCAGTCAGGCTGCAGTAATGTCTGCAGCTGCTGTGATCACTGCCTGCAGGCTTCCGACTGAGTCCTCCACAAGTCCCACATCATTGCCATTCTGACTCCTATTCACTGACCTCTACTTTCATGGAGGGAAGTTAAGATACTCCCCCACAAATCAGAATCAGACACGCCATGCTTCTGCTTTAGGTTCCATAAGGGAATTGGCCAATATTCACCTGCATATAGCATATGCATATGCCTGCAGCTTGTAGTTCATCCCAGGACTGCCGCCTGCTCTTTAGACTCACTTCAAAAAGAGATGAAGGAAAGAAAAAAACTTTGGACAGGAATGTTTGCCAACACAGACCGGACTGACTTAGACCTTGTACATTTTAGTCATGATGAAAATCAAGCTTCTGTTTTCTCTTCTGAGGAGTCAAACCTTGCGGCCTGTGCAGCCTCCTTATTTTACAGCATGTCCACCTTGTAGTGTAACCATCTTGTTTTGGTGATGATAGAGGTTAGTGAAATCAGGTAAATTAACAATTCAGGTAATGTTTGTTAACAACTCTTTTTTTTAATCAAGACAAAGACGAGATGATGACAAACTAAAATACATTACTGTTAGGAAATATTCAGATAAATCAAAGTTTTGTTTAATAAACAACAGTTTCAGGTTGAATGTTGGGCTTTAAAATCCTTTGTATTTCCTCCACCATAGGAGTAATGTATTCCTGTCACAGGCTGAGTTAGTCAAAGTGTGAAGCGTTCATTTTGTCATATAGTATGTCTGCAATAATGGCCCTTTCTGTCATCCTTTTCTATCTCTGTGCTTTTCTCTCATTATTTCAGAACTTGCAGCTGTGTGTTGATAAAGATACAACCAGCTACCGCACTGGCAACGCCAGTGAATTGTTTGACATTTGCCTTTTTCCTCACCCTTACTGCTGACAAGTCCATGACAAAACCTTATTTTTTTCTAGTTTGGTTTAACATTGATACACATTTTAACAAGACTTACTGTAGTCATGACAAAAAAAGACAAAAAAAAAAAAAAACTTGATTATTGCAAATGAGGATGTGGCTGAGGGAGCAGTAAACTGAGGCCCGGACTACACGTATATAGATATTTATTTATCAGGATATTTTTGTACTCCTGTCTAAATAAATGTATCTGTCCACACGTGTTAGTTCTCAAAAATATCTGCGTCCACACATAGCCTTCATACTCAATTCTATCTGGTGCCGCTTAAAAAAAATTCAGGAACAAAGCTAACTGATGGGCCGATGAATCGTAACAGCGTGAAGCATCATGCATTGTTTGTGGAAGCTACGCTAGTGCATCGGGTCCATGTGACCAATAAAAGTATTGGCCGCAGCAGACGCGTCTGTGAGCTGGCTGACTGGTGGATGTAATTGTATAAAACAAGGTTCACTTGCAAGGCTGAAATTAGCCCCAAAAGGGCAAAACAAACGTAAAGAATACCCTGTACGTCCGCCATCGTTGTTGTTGTTTTTCTTTTTAATTCGCATGCGCGAGCTGCAGTTTGACGTCATCGATCCGTAAAAGTCCAACCACAGGAATCCACTACGGCTATGGATATATTTTTGTTTCTCCACTTGTTTTTTCGGATTCAGATTTATCCAGTTTGAGTGTTCCAAACTCCTGTTTTGGTGTGGTAGGGAGGCCTAATCGGACATAAATATGTGAGGTTTGAAATATATCCGCATTTGTGTAATTCGGGCCTGAGTGTCTGTCCAGAGGCATATCTTGTAAAGTAAGGGTCTCTGACCTAGTAGAACCCCACCCCAACAAAAAGAAGTCATAGAAAAAAAGGAATACATGCATCATGACTATTTGATTTGGAGTTAAGATCCTTCCACTATACCTTAGTAGAGCAGGGACAACACAACATCATTGCATTGTGGGAGAGTCTGAACTAGATCACCCAACCAAGGTAACAAATCCAGATATTACATAACTTTAGGTGTTAAAAGAGTGAAACACTACAGATTTGAACACTAATACAACCTTCATACCGATTTTTAAATCATTGATTCCCCCTCCTCACATTATTTGAGGCAGTAAATGCTTTTTAGTCCAAAGATCATGACTTAAACTGAAACTAAAACAAGGGACAAATTTTAACACTGTCTTTGGTCTCTCAGAAAAGTATAGTTTACAGGGACATGTTACTTTAAAAGACAAATTGTCTTTTTTTTTTTTTTAATTAGTTCGAAAGATTGGGACTTTGACTTCAAATCAAACTGAACTGCTCTTTGTTTGAATGAATCCGCCTTGAAATTAGACTGGAGTGCTAAGGAGAGATGCACTCTTCTGGTCACTGTTGATATCTGAAACATGGACTTGTAGAGGTACTCGTATTAAATCTGAATCCTTAAATAGTGTTAGGAAATTTCACTTGAACTTTTATATAACATCAATATCAAAACATTTGTATGTGCTTTCACATGTTGCTATTTTTTGTAATGCCTCTAACGTAGGACATTATATATTCTACACTTGAACAAATTCATGTATATGTATTTTATCATTTAAAACAGTTTCTTAATGTTTAATTCAAGTGTGTGGATACATGTCTGACATTAAAAGCATGCCAGGTCCTTGAAATGGAAAAGCTGAGAGATAAAAGGCCTGAAACAAAACAATAGGAGGGATTAATGACGGAAAGAGACAGTCTGAAAGGAGACCTTTCCTGCCTCCTAGTGGCGTCATGATAAAAAATAATAATTATAAAAAAAAAAGCTCCTCATCAACTCCGGACCAGAGAGGTAGCAGTACTTCTGCCTCTGCACTGCTCCATGTCCCTGTTGTGCAGGTATTTAGATTAATCACATCATTATTTGCTGTTGCAGCAGAAGCTTATCCACAGGCTTTTATGCAAACTGGGTTCCTATTGGGCATGGGTGTTTGTGACACACATACTGTGTATGTAGGCTCAGGGATGCAGTGAAGGACAGTTTAAGTTGAGCTGGGTATTTCTAGAAGCATTCAGACATATATCACTAATGTGGACGCTTAAGTAGCTATGTGTTTTTTCCCACCTGGATAAGCGGTAACTGTCCTCTGAGAAAAGACTGAAAGCTGATTCAGTGTTGATTTCAATGAAATCAGATTTAACATGAATCAATACAGATAGAACTAGTTTATCTTTTTACTGTGGATCAATTTGAATTCAATAAAAGAAATAGGTTAAATGACAATTTCGCTTAAAAGTTTTCTGGTTTAATGACTGAGCGCGTGTTCAATCACTATCGGTGACGTAACGGCACTGCCTCTCTCTCTCTCTCTCTCTCTCTATCTCTCTCCCTCTCTCACACACACACACACACACACACACACACACACATACACGCACACACACAAACGCAGTGAGGCAGCAGCAGACGCTCAGTGCTGCTCTGAGTGTGCGGAGCGGAGGAGGAGGACCGGCGGGTACAGGCTGTAGTTATGCCTCAGCTCCGGAAATATACATCTTCCCTCGCTGACTCTGTCTCGAGCGCATTGCTGTTTTCTCTTCTTTTTCGAGTCTACTCTCACCAGCATCCTTTTTCTGGAAGAAAGGAATAAGAAAAACCAGCCGTGCGTCATGGTGCGTCTTTGCGCATTTTTTCTGCATCTTTGAAGGAAAAGTGGTTTCTTTTCGCATGGACTAAAATGACGCGCTTTCTGTGTGAGGGGGAGAAGAGAGGCAGCGTTTCGCAGCCCGAGTCTCTCTGTGAATATTTGGCTGCAGCAGCGGGTGATCTGCGTGAAGCCACTGAATAAATCGGCGCTCTCTGTGAGGAAAAGGATTGCAGAGAGCGGCTTTTTCTCCCTCCGAGTCTCCTCTGATTATGTGCCAAGTCCATTCACTACATAGCTGATTTGTCATGGTTTCGCCTTTTTTATTTTTCATGATTAATTTTTTTCGGGAAGGAATTGGGAATTTTTTTGGATTCAAGGCGAAGGTCAAAAGAGAAAGTTGCGCATCTCCTTTGCGTCACGCTCCCATTTTAACACTAAATAACGGTGTTGCGCCAGTTTTCCGAGCGCCTGTGTGCTTGTGTGTGTATGAGTGTGTGATCCTGTGTGTGTATGTGAGCGCCTCTGCCTCCTTTTTTTTCCTCTCTCCACAGTGAGAAGTCATCCCTTGATTTTTTTTTTTTCTTTCTACAGAAGGCTCACGCTGCAAAGTTAAATGCTGGATCCATATTTCAGCATCCATTTTTGGCTGTAAAAATGCTGAGCGGCGTCCTCTTTTTGAGCGTCCTCACGGTCACAAGCTTGACACCATCTGAAACGCAGAGCCGCAAAACTTCAGCCTCCAAAGACATCTGCAAGAACCGCTGCAACTGCGAGGAGCGGGAGAATATCCTGAACATCAACTGTGAGAATAAAGGATTTATCACAGTAAGTCAATTCTTGGCACCCCCCAATAAAATCTCTCAGCTTTTTCTAAATGGAAACTTCCTGTCAAGGCTTGGAGCTAATGAGTTTGTCAATTATGGCAATGTCACTTCACTGCATCTTGGGAATAATGCTTTGCAGGAGATCAAAACTGGCGCTTTTAACGGACTGCGCTTCCTGAAGCGGCTTCACTTGAACAACAATAACCTGGAGGTGATTAAAGAGGACACGTTTGCAGGACTTGAGAGTTTGGAGTATTTACAAGCAGACTATAATTATATCAGTGCTATCGAGCCTGGTGCTTTCAGTAAGCTGAATAAGCTCAAAGTCTTGATCCTGAATGACAACCTGCTCTTATCTTTGCCTCCCAACATTTTCCGCTTTGTGCTGCTCACACACTTGGATTTACGTGGCAACCGGCTCAAGATGCTGCCATTTGCTGGTGTTTTAGAGCACATCGGTGGCATCATGGAGATCCAGCTGGAGGAGAACCCATGGAACTGTACCTGTGATCTGATCCCTCTCAAATCCTGGCTGGACACTATCTCTGTGTTTGTGGGGGACATAGTGTGTGAGACACCATTCAGGCTGCATGGGAAAGACATCACCCAGCTCATAAAACAGGATCTGTGCCCACGCAGGAATGCTGGTGAGCGAGTTCACCCCCCCTCTGACTCTCACTTTCAAGGGGCCCTGCCCCCGACCTACCACCCAGGTGGTATCACCCCAACTCGAGCCCCCAAAGCTTCCCGCCCACCCAAAATGCGATATAGGCCCACTCCTCGCATTTCAAAGGACAAACACGTCTTTGGGCCCATCATGGTTTACCAGACCCGTTCCCCTGTGCCCATGCTGTGTCCGAGTGTGTGCGTGTGCACATCACAAAACCCCGACAGCGGACTCAACATTAATTGTCAGGAGCGGAAATTGCATAACATCAGTGAGCTGAACCCCAAGCCCTCCTACCCCAAGAAACTCCACCTGACAGGTAACTACTTACAAGTGATTTACAGGACTGATCTGACAGAGTACAGCTCGCTGGAGCTGCTCCATTTAGGGAACAACAGGATAGCAGTGATTCAGGAGGGGGCATTTGAGAACCTCACAAACCTCAGACGCCTGTATCTGAATGGGAATTACATCGAATCTCTTTCTCAGTCTCTCTTTGCTGGATTGCAGTCACTGCAGTATCTGTATTTGGAATACAACATCATCAAAGATATTTTACCACAGACTTTTAATGCTTTACACAACCTTCAGCTGCTTTTCCTCAACAACAACCTATTAAGATCTCTCCCTGACAACGTGTTTGGTGGCACAATGCTAACTAGACTCAACTTGAGGAATAATCATTTCTCCTACCTTCCGGTTCGAGGGGTGCTGGACCAGTTGTCAGCGTTTATCCAGATAGATCTGCAGGAGAACCCCTGGGACTGTACCTGTGACATAGTGGCACTCAAAAACTGGATGGAGCTATCCAGTACAAGTGTGGTGGTGAATGAAATCACTTGTGACTCCCCCTCTAAACATGCAGGTCGCCTCCTTCGCTCACTTCGCAATGAAGCTATCTGCCCCGAGCCCAGTGAGGCGCCCACGCCACAACATGCCCCCCCTACAAAAGCCCCCACAGTGATAAGCCCGGGAACTGAAGCTCCCACACCCACCTCCTCCTCTCCTTCATCCCCTTCTTCCTCTTCTTTCAGCTCAGTCAGCCCCACTGAATCCCGAATCCACACTCCTGAGCTGTACCCCGAGGTTCCTCTTTCAGTGCTGATTCTGGGCCTTCTTGTTGTTTTCATCCTCTCAGTTTGCTTTGGAGCAGGTCTCTTTGTTTTTGTTCTGAAGCGCCGCAAAGGAGTGGAACATGTCCCCACAGGCGCCAACAACCTAGATCTCAACTCTTTCCAAGTGCAATACGGCTCCTACACCCCCGAACCCACCCAAGACAAATCCTCTGAAAGCCACGTTTATAACTATATCCCCCCACCTGTCGGCTCCATGTGCCAAAACCCCATCTACATGCAGAAAGATGGGGAGCAGGTGGCGTATTACCGCAACCTGAAGGAGCTCAGCTTCGGGCCCCTGGATGTAAAGAAGGAAGACATCCTGACTCGCAGCCCAGGGGCATACACCATCAGCACAATGGATTTTATGGAAAAATCTCCAACATCATGTGGTTTGACCACACCAGACCCTCCTGAGATGTTGTATCAGAATTTAGGGGAGAGGCCCAACAAGGAGCTCCCCACAGCTGCAGGCGCCCCCCCTTTCCATTACAACTTTTGCACATTACCTAAAAGACCCTGTATCGTGCCCCCCTATGAGGTCGCCACAGCCCGGCGGCATATCACCAACCAGGACAAGCTGAATAAAACTGTTCTGTACGGGACCCCCAGGAAATACTTTGGGGCAGAAAACTGCTCCAAAAACAATGAACACCCGCTGCTGCTGCCCGGGAAGCTAAAAACAGAACCGGACTACCTGGAGGTTCTGGAGAAACAGACTGCGATGAGCCAACTGTAAGATAGCGACAATTCCCCCACACCCTCTCCTCTCCCAGGTTCTGAGCAGCATTCATAATAATCACGCAGTTACTGTAATAATAGCCCTCTCTCTCTCTATGTATCTATCTTATCTATCTGTGTTCAATCTGACATGAGTGATGGAACCCAAGTCTTTGATGAATTTTCCTCTTTTTCTTCTTCTCTTCTTTTTTTTTCCTTTCCAAGCTGTATAAAGGAGTATAAAAAGTATATTATTATGCAGTTCTATTTTTCCTCTGGAAGGTATAAATTATTTCTTCTTTTTTGGAAAAATGAAACTCTCAAAGACTGATGACGGCAGGTAAACCATGGGCAGGACTGTGTACAAATACGGCTTTGTGCTTTTCATAAAACTGTATTTTAATTCCCTGTAAAAAAAAAGAAAAAAAAAAAAAAGAAAAACAATCAGAGAAAGTCTGAAGTTATTATTCTTTGTAGATGAGGACATGCTTTGGATCGACATTCCTGTACATAATTAGCATACACAGATAAATGGTGAGTGTTCAACCATAAAAGGGAAACCTTTTCACAATCCAACAAGCGGCAAATCTTACTATACTTACTCCAGAAAGTGCCTTTGCACTCAACTATTTTATCAACAATGCTCTCTGCAAAATGGAAATGTACCTTTTTTGAAAGTGCTGTATTTTAAAGAACAAATCTTTATGTAAAATAGAAGACTTATTTGTCTGTTTAAAAAGAAGAAAAATGAACAAAAAAAAAAAGAGACTGGTTGTGAAATGATCAAATAGTTATTGACAGGGAGAGTCGTGTTATTTTGCTTTCCATATGAAGTGTCTTTGGAGATGTACAACTTCTAGAGAATAATGTATGCTATAGGGGAGCAATACAGTGCGGCCAAGTTGCGCCATTAAACTTTCACTGAAGCACTTTGTCAAGATCCTGAGCTGGAAGTGCATTTTTGCTTCAAATGTGCATACTTATTTGTGGCTGCTGGTGTGTGTGCTGTGGGTCTCTCTCTCTCTCTCTTGTGCATGTGTGTGTGTAAGTGTGTGTGTGGTGGGAGCCAAAGAAATTGCCTGCAGCTCCTCCCTCTCTCTCTCTTTCTCTCTCTCTCCCTCTCTCTCTCTCTGCTCAGATGCAATGGCTCCTCTTGTGATTGAGGAGGTGCATTTTTTGGGCTCCTGCAGATCTTGACTGATGGCCACAGCTCCCTTTTCTCTCTGACCTGACACAGCATTTCAAGGTTTTTTCCACCCCCCCACCCCCCCAAAGAGCTCCACTCCATCCATCTGGTGGTGCACAGAAAACACAGATGTTTGATGTAGAGGGTCGATATTTTCTTCATCAGGGAAAAGGATGTGTGAAATGTTCACCAAGTGCTGCAAAGTGAGACATTTAGACAGTAAGTGTGCCTTTTTTAAAAACTGCTGCTCTTAAGGAATTGTAATCTTACAGGAGAGAGGAATTGTCATTAGTAAAGCAATTAGCAGTGTCGAATTGCCTATTGTGGATAAGCAGTAAAAGAAAATGTGCCGATGCTGAAAATGGAGGAGGGGAGAGTGCTGCATAGAGTACTGACTCTGTGAGAAACCATTTCTCACTGAATACACTATTCCTCTGCATCCTGCTGCTCAAAAATGACACCCGCTTATGCAGACTGTGAAAAAAGTGGCATTGTTAACAGGTGCTGGTTCTTCCGCAAGAATCTTATGGGGGGTGGGGGGGGTCCATGACAGTTAAGAGTCAAAAATGCTCCGAGAAATACAGAGATTGGTGAGAAACTGATCGAAGAAACATAAAACTATGATTCTATTGAAGCTTCTATTAGAAAATGAGAAGTATCATCACCCTCCTTGAGTTTGAAGGCCTGTCTTCGTCTCTCCCAACATGGATGAACCGTGCTGCTTGCACTAATGCTAATTCTGTTTTGTGTCCTTCAACTCGAGTTGACATTGGCTCTTTGTATCCTCTGTGAATAGCCTCCCGACGGCCAAATTTCTTCCCATCCTCCTCCCCCCTCCTTTCTTTTGTAAGTCCCCGGCCCGCCACCCTCCTCCACCTCCTCCTCTGTCTTTTGTCCTCATGTTTTTGCCTCCGCTGGATCTCTGCTGGCTATTATGTAGCTGTCCAAGGTGCTGAAATGTTGCCGGCAACAGGGCCACGTTCCAATCTAACAGCCGGGAGCATGGGGCTCTTAAAAGGAGATGAGCACATTTGCTCCTTTTTGTTTGAGTTACTTCGCAGAGTTGTGTGATTTTGGAGGATGGATGCAGTTTTGCTGGAAAGCTCGATTTCCTTTGTGATGCTGGAAATCTTTCCCCCAAAAGTAGGTCTGTGTACGCTTGAGGGCATTGAGGTAGTCCCTGCATATTGCATGTGAGCTGATTGTGTTTGTTGCTGTAAGTCTGTGTTGGTTTCACACAGTGTGGTTGCACACTGGAAACAGAAGTTAAAGTGAAGGTCCACTGGCTCGATTTTTCTTGAGCTCACCATCCTCTAAGGACCTTTGCTCCCTTTGGAAAGTGGTCTTCTAAGACTGTGAAATGCAGCTTTAGCTCTGAAGAGGCTGGTTAAAGGGCCCTTGGTAAAGACTGGTATTTGGGTCTGCCAGTGATTCAAATGAAGTGACTTGTTTTGGGTGTGAATTGCTCTGTTGCTATTCCAAATGAAGTTGTTTAAGAGGCTTTTATAAAAGGACCCTGTAGGTTCCCTAAAGACCTACTTTAGCTCTATTTAGAGGAAGAGTTAGCATCTGTTGTACAATACTGTATGCAACCATGTCAGTGCTGGATACGTTGTAACAAATAACAAACAGTATATTTACATGACATGAATAATGTTCTGTTGTAGTTACATCTGGACTTCTTTAAAAAGCATGTTAATGTGCTTGTCTAACTGTATATTAGTCAGATTTTCTCAAAGTTGGACACACATACCCAGAGAATAGGGGCTGATTTTTTCTATTGCATTGACACATCTGAATTGACTTCAAACTGTCAAATAGATGACATGCATCTTATTTGTACCAAAAATTAAGTGTAGAGTTCATAATCAAAGCTACAGAGCAGCAAAATTATCCATCTTGTTCATATTTTTGACTTGTTTGTCTATTATTTAAATAATTCCACTTGAAAAAGTCCAACAGGCTGAGAGGAGACACATGTTAACCTCCTTTAGCCAAGGTGGACATCCTTGTTTCAACAAATAGATTGTTGCTCAGTGTTTGAATGCAGGGACAAGGGCAGTTATGGAGCTCTAACCATCACTCACCTTGATACTGACTGTCGTTAAAAATATGGACAAAAAAAGAAAGTTAACACGAAAGATCTTGATAGTGCTGATACTTCAATTCCTCACTTCAGTTATAGATGAAATGCAGTGTGCCAAAGGCAAACTGATGGCAGATGCAGTCAGGGTAGTGGTTAATAGCGACATAATTCACTTTAATAAAATGTTGTGTTAAAACGTACTGATACAGTACATTAAAAAAAAAAACAACAATGAAACAATGTGCTTTGTAGGCAAAAAACATACAAAGACAAAAATACTATCACAGACAAACATGGGTTAAAAGACACCAAAAAAACGATAATAACACAATAAATAAAAGCAAACCAAAATTGACAAAAATTGACAATCAACTGGTGCTAAAAGCCAACAAAAAGACTTCTTCAACTTTTCAGAAGTCCTTGACTCACCAATACTCTAAAGCTGCTCAGAATGTGGACCTACTTTCAAACTTGGACTCAGTTTGTGAACGCTCGACTGCAGCAAAAGTGAGTTTGACTTTGGACTTGGAGCTCCAATGAGGAACTCTCAGTTTGTGACAGTTCTGGCGCCCATCCTGTCATCCGGTCTGATTTTGACCATGCATTTGTAAGCTGTAACAAGAACCGTATAGAAATAGACCAAAAATAGTTGTGGTTTACTTCTGTAGCTCATACAGAGGCGTCAGTATTACTGTGAGTCAGTTTTATAACAACATTAAAAAAATAAATAATAATAAAAAACACTCCTCAAAGGAGTTTGAACAGGCTGGGCATGAGTTTCAGCATTTCTCTTTTGAGACATCTATGAAACCCTCTCAGGTGAGCTCACTTTTAGCTCTGCTGCAGATTCCAGCATTATCAAAGCTTAACAAGTTAAAGTGCTCTATCTTGATATCAATAATAAAAGCTGCTCTGCATCATCACATCTGCTGTCACAGACTCCACAGCGTTACCCTCATATTCATCCATTTAGTCAAGAATGAGCCAGTGACACCACTGAATCCCCACTGGTCCCCATTTCTGCTGTGATCGATTCTTCCAGTAAATGAGTGTGACCAGGCAGGAGCCTCACTTTCACTCCGTACACACAGTTTTTTGAAAAGATTATTTTCCTGCACATATTTGTACCCGAGCGAATTAGCTGCACCTAAAAAAACATCCTCCCTTATTGTGGTTCTGCTGTTACTGCTGCATGAAACGCCTCATTTACTTTAGATCCTGATACTTTCTGTGCTGTTTTTTTTCCTCTCTTTCACATTCGCGCATTTACTTGTGGACTCTTATTGCCGTAACTTCTTAAGGCGCCATATCGAGTTGCTTTCATCCGAGGTTTGTGGTGCAAAGGCGCACGGTGAGCAGGCGAGATGCTGCGGTAAGCAAAGCTGTGAATGCTGTCATGTGGGCTTCCTTTTTAACAAGCTTCGCCATTTCAGCTGCTGTGTGAATGGGAGGGGAGAAGAAAGAGAGAGGCGAGGGGGAGAGAAAGAGAGAGGGAGAGGTCGGAGAGAGATGAACGGAAGGAGAGAGAGCTGTTCATTCCTCTCCTCTTTCTGAAAATGGGGTGATTTTCCTTCCTTAAGCACAATAGGTCCTCTGTGTCTTTTTAGTGGCAGTGAAGGAAAGAGAGGGAGCGATCACATGCATACACACAAACACAGACACACACACACACACACACACACGCAGACACACGCACTCACAGGGGATATAAGGGAGGGCTGAAACATGTGCAGCCTTGCACACCAAT